TGTTCTTTTTTTATTTTTAAAGATTTTTTTCTTATTATTATTATTCTTGTATTTTTGTTATTGATGATATTTTTGTTATCTGGGCTAGATAAAAAAATAAAATAAAAGCACAGTCTAGTTCGAGACTACTGCCGTTAAATAATAATATGTTTACTGTAAATCTACTCTTCTAATAGCAAAATTTATTACTTAACTGAGTGGAATTATGAACTATAAAGAAAATAAAACATCTTTTGTCCTTTTCAATGGTTTCATTTCGCACGTACATTTAATTGATGAAACGAGTTATCGTTGACGTAGATAATATTTTAACTAAGAATACTTTTGAGATGCATGCAAAATATTTCGAATAGAAATGTTAAGATAGAAGAACTTCTTGAAATAAATAGTCTTAGTTAACGCTGTACGAATTAGTAATCTCGTTTATACATCATTACTTACACGTATTGAAGCTGCCATTTCTTGTCCATGTGGAATTCGTCGAACATAACCACCTTGAACAAGAGTCATTGTTAATCCCATAAAGAGAAACATACGTCCTTGTTGCATACTAAATGAGAAAATAAATAATTTATATTTTAATTAAAATAAATAGTTGTTAGAATTCAACCTGTTATAATTGAATCGATTATAAACAAGAAAAGTAATTGTAAATTCTAGACCAGCAAATATTATCATGTAGAAAAAACTTGCTAAACCAAGTCGACGTAGTATGTGAACATCTAATATAAAAGTAAAGAAAATAAATAAAATTGAAAATAAAAAAAGAACAAAAATAGTCAGGCCTTGTTGTTCGTTCACCTTCATACAACTATAAACAAACGATCTACTTCTAGTCAACTTTTTTATTTCACATCTAGTCGTTATATTAACATTTCTGTACGAAAAACGCTACGATGATTTACAAAAGAGATAAATATGTTTTTTTATTTTGTTTCATTCTGATAAAATGTTTATAAATTATTCGTAAATCACACAGTCATACTGTGAAACTAGTATACAGAGAATTTGATTAAAACAAACAGTAGAGACTCACTTTATATTGGATATGATCATTCGAGTCTAAGTTCTTTTCATATCAAAACGAGATCAATTCCAGTT